CTCTCTCTATCTCTCTCTCTCTCTCTCTCTCTCTCTCTCTATCCAACTATTAAAATACTATCACTATTAAAATCCCTTTCACAAAAAATAACACATGCAAATTTAAATATCTATTTATCTATCATCTATCTATCGGTTGTCTATCTATCATCTATCAAATCTATCTTTCTTTCTTTCTTTCTATGTATGTTACGCCAATCTGGGCTATCCAGACCACAGATAGTTAAAGTGTCCAGCTATTGGTATGAGCATGGGTTACATTGGACTCAAGGTGCAGTGCAACACTCACTCAAATGATTGGGCGCCAGAAGGTTCTTATGGTGCAAACAAAGTAACTGTTTATTAGTCAGAGACAATGACCTCGGGCTTACTCACATCACCAGAGGTTAGCGGAAAAAGGCACAGGCACATAACATTCAGCTTTCTCTGGCCCTTGCTGTACTCTGGCTCCCCTGGGCACACCCAGCCAGATCAGCATCCAGCAGCCAAAGAGGAAGAGGCCACTCCTTACACACACTATAGTGCAGTGTGGCAGGAAGTTGTCATATCACCTCTTGGCCAATAACACTGAGCTACACAGGATTTTGCCTGGTAACTGAGAAAAGGGTAGGACCTTAAAGCCATAGGGGCAGATTAACCCCTATGGACCTCTACATCTATATAGGATTATTATTTACTGTATGCTTCTAGGGACACCGAAGGCTTTAAAAAGAGTCATTACATATTTGAATAATGTGCCAAAAATTGTAGCCTGTCTGAAGTAATGGCTTGAAGAAATACAATAATGAAAAAAGAGACAACAATTGCCTAATAATATTCCAAGGAAAATGTTTACATTTCAAAGTAAAGGGGTTTTTAGTTACAAGTTTATGATCATAAAATTGCCACCATAAATAGAAATCTATAAGCATTTAGCTACAATTATATGATCACAAAATTGCCAAGCCACCATACCACGGCAAGGTAACCCCCATATGGTGGATTTTTTTTTTTTTTTTTTTTTTTTTTTTTTTTTTTT